AACTATGCAAAGATACAATTATGACATTTATTGTGACATTTTTTGTAAAAATGAAAAAAAACCCTAAATGTCTGTCATTGGGGAATTAGTTAAATATATTTTGAGATATTCTTAAAACAGAACACAATGTCAGCTATTAAAAAGGGTGAAGTTTCGGGGCTGGCCTGGTGGCTGAAGCGGTTAAGTGCGCGCGCTCCGCTGCGGCGGCCCGGGGTTCGCCAGCCCGGATCCCGGGCTCACACCGACGCACTGCTTGTCAGGCCATGCTGTGGGAGCGTCCCAGATAAAGTGGAGGAAGATGGGCATGGATGTTAGCCCAGGGCCAGTCTTCCTCAGCAAAAAAGAGGAGGATTGGTGGATGTTAGCTCAGGGCCGATCTTCCACACACACACAAAAAAAAGGGTGAAGTTTTGATATACGGGTATGGAAAATGTCCATAAAGGAGTTAAGTGGGAAAAAAAATGAGTGCAGAATAGAATATGATTCCAATTTTGTAAGAAATTTAAATGTCTCTATATTTGCAAAATTTATGTTTATTTATATGCTTAAAAGAAAATCCAATTTAAGAGTGGTTACCTCCATACAGTGGAATTTCAGAAGAGAGCGATTTTTTTACTCTGTTTTATACAATTTTGTTTAAATGTTATAAACCCATATTACTTTTATAACACAAATTAAAATATCTTTCAAAAGATAAAAAAAATACCAATGATTGATGTTGTTTGTTGATGGTGTCTATGGGTCTGAGTAAAAGAGGCAGGAAAGTGGAAATTATAGGGGAAACTGAACAGTGCATGCTCTCAGCAAAGAGACAGAGCAAAGCTTGTGCAAAAAGGAGTAAGCAAGTATAACGAGCAATACATTTTATCTATTGATCCCCTACTACGGGAAAGGTGACATCTTTAATGACATGTTGCATGCATTTTCTCGAATCCTCAGAACAAACTTGCAAGGTAGGTATTAGCTCTACAGATGAGAAAAATGAGGCTCAGAGAAACTGATTGCTTGGGACCCCTGAGTTAAGGCCAGGAGCAATGGAGCTGGGGCTCAGATCTACCATGCTGCCTCTCATAAAAACGAGGCCCTAAGGCTGGGGCGAAGAGAAACCCTGGACCTGAAGATTACCAACCCAGGAGTGGGCTCTTTAGCAACCCACGAGTCGTGTAAAGAATCCACACAAACTGCTATTTCCTCCCTGCTACAAAAATGCTTCAGCCTGACTCTTGCGGGAGGCATGGGGAGTGGCAGAGGGTGGGGAAGATGGTGTCAAATATGTGCTCTGCTCTGCTGGGGGGATAGTCACAAGGGAGGGGAGACACTGTGTGCAGGACTTTACCACTCACCACTAGGGGTTAAAGAATCCCAACAGCTCACAGAAACCCAAACACTCTGTTTAGATGCTACAAAGCTGGGAAGAGCGACATGAAATGACATTGAGAACCATGCTTCTTTTTCCTCCTGTGCGGTGGTGAGCAGAGAAGCTGCAGGAAGGGAAGGAGGCATGATAACAGCAGCTACCTTTGGGGGAGGATCTACTGCATGCCGGGAACTTTATAAACATTATCTTCAATCCTCAGAACCTGAATAAGTAAATGAATATTGTTACCTCCATTTTACAGAAGAGGAAACAAGTGCAAGCAGATAAATAATTTACCCAAATATATGCAGCTACTAAGAGGTGGAACTAGACTATGCTCACACCATTCCAACTGCTAACCGCAGGCTCTTTCCAAGACACTAAGCTGCCTCTTTGGGTAGCTTAGGGGCCCATGTGTAAGGTGATCAGTGCCCAGAGCTGAACAGCGAGCAAGAGCATCAGGCATTGAGGAGGAAGAGGTAATGGCCAGGGAAATGTAAAAGAGCAAGCAAGATTAGGGCTATGCTGTGCAAGTCCAGTACCGGCCACTGGAGGAACACAATCACCAATGGCTTTGCTTGCCTCTGTTTAAGAGGCAGCAGAACATCCACGTGTAGAGGGTGAAAAATAATTTTCAGCCGGAAGCCTGCTGTGTCTGGCTTGGCTTTGCCAATGGGATCTGATTAATATTCTTGAGTTTTCATTAGCATTTGAAGGAAATACCCAAATGACACAAAGCCAATTCTAGTAGCTGAGATTTAATGTTTGAATTCATTTTCTCTAATGAAGTTACCCTGGTTAGGCACCTCCATTTCAAAAACTATTTTGGGTTTCAACAAGCCAACCATTTATACAAACACCTTCACGTTACCTTCCACCAAACCGGGCCAGAGGCTGTGCCTCCTTGTAGAGGGAATTTACATCATTTGCTGTGGGGGGTGGGGAACTGGGAGTACTTTTCCCAGCCTTGACTGGACCCAAGCCAAGGTTGTAAGTGCAAGTCCCATAATATGATCTCCCTGTAACTGCCCCTTAGGCTGACACAATCCCGCCCCGCCCCAGAGAGCAGCATTTTATTGCATCCTTTGTTGTAGGTTTTCCATTTTAGGGAGAATTGATAGTGATACTAAGTATAAACACATTCTCTGCCAGTCAAATTCTGTGGCTAGGTTTTTAAAAAGGAGCTGGGAAGTCTTGTGGCCAGCAATAATATTTATATTGAAACTCAGCTCTTGCTTCACAGGGTGAGGGCAATGATGGTCAAGAAAGGAATTTCTTGCCCCATAGACAGTTCTCACATGACTCAAGAAGGCCAGGGAGTGTTTTGAGCTTGGAGTAAATCCTGCAGTAGTTTCTTAGTTGCATAAGATTAGGATCAAACCTTTAAAAAGTCTTTTTATGCCAAGACAATACGTTAATATTCAAATTTTTCCAAACTCTATTTTTTGCTCGTAAAGAAAAAAAAATTACTTAACTGATATCTCACCTCTCTCCCCTGCCCTTGACTCTACTACAGGCTTAGAAGCATTTTTGTCCAGGTCCTGACTCACTAACTCTACAAAAGAGTTGAATTTCTCATTACACTGAAAACAAACCAAGTCTGAAATGTCTCCTTTAGCAAGATATTTTAAAATCATTATTTTACCAGTTAAATGTCATAAAAGGGCAGTTCAATTATAGTGCTCCATTAGGAGATAAAAATCAATGCTTAAACCACAGTGGCCTTCTTGATTATAGTAAATAAAATCTAAAAATATTAAACAAGTAATTACCCACAGGGAAGTGAATCTTATGGGTTTTTCACCCCTTCCTTAATACTTTATAAACAAGAGATTCAGGAGTATTAGAATACTACAACGTGAGAGAACCAGCTATTAGTTCAAAGCAGGAGGAGAAAAGGAATCAATGTTTATTCTCTTGTTTCTGTGCACCTACCCTAATATACACGTGGTTATGGGAATGACTTCCTCCTTTCCAATAGTTTCTAGTTCAAAACTGAGATCAACTTTAGGTCTATGGGGCAATAACCTGTAAGGAGTTTTCACAGTGCTAGCAATGTTGAGACCTAACATTGGGGATTTAAAAATGGCATGAAGTCTCACAAGTCCCAAACCACAGAACTTTTTAAAATTTGGCTATTATTTTAAAGAACACAAGAAAATATTCTAGGACAGGATGAAAGGAGAAGGAATTCAGTGTTTTAGAAAATACATCACTCCCAACACCCTCATGTAGCGCCTTAAGACATTTGGGGAAGAAATAAGTGGAAAGGAATATCTGTTGGCCAAGATTTCTTGGGATATACAGTTTAGCAGACCACTTTTCAGAACAAGTTTATCTGTGCATTTTAGCAGTCTATTTCTCTGAAGTTTCTCCCAGGAGTGCTCAAGCCTACCTAGCTTCTAGAAATCTTTGCTTTGAGCGAAAAAGAAGAACATTTAGAGTCTAAGAGTAAAATTCAACAGCATACAACATACTATGTAATGTAATCGTGTGTGTGTATATCATCCTCTTATTTTGTTTTCAGAAAGAACATTATTCTGGGATGTAAAAACAACCTTGAAAAATACAGAGATAAGAGACTTCTCTGTCTTCCATAGGAGTGTCATGTTTCCATGGTGACAAAACCAGCTCTTGATACCTGATTAACGAAGGACTGTGATCCGTGGGCTTCCTGCTTCCTCCTTCCTCATTCCATGTAACAGGGAGACAGGCAGAAGGAAAGGGGAAAACCAACGGCATCCTCGATAGTTGGGGAGAAAATTGCCAGGAGATTCAGGTTCTGGTTTCAAGATTTTGTTATGATATGTCAGTGCCAAGTATTCACAGAAATGGCATATCTTTTCTAATGTTCATTATTTTGCAAAAGTGCATTCTGCTTTTAAAAAACTTTAATTTTATAAAACATGAAAGATTTAATAAACATGGGAAAGCACCCCCCATTACACAAGCAGTTTCCATTGTCATCTAGATAAACTGGAGTGTGTGAAACCGTACCTGACCTTCTTGGGTTTCACTCTTCTTAGTTATACCTACTCAAAATTCCTGGGTCTGCTCCCACCTTTGAATTCCCCACAACTACACACCAGTCATCTCAATGCCCAAAAAATCTCAAACAGGTTCTCCTACAATGTCAAACAAACTACTCCTAAAGGCAAGAGTATAAAGAGCCAAGCACACATTTGTAATAATAAGCATAGAATCTTAGTCGGAAACTTCAAGTTCCTTTATAAAGATAAAGTTTGTCAAACATCTACAGATTCCATCATCATGGCATCCTCAAAGCAAAGTTGTACAGTTGGACATGAAAATTAGGCTATGCCTAAAGTAATTTTTAAACTCAAAAATCTAGTAAAATTAAATTCCCTACATAGTACTACTAAAAGAGGGAACACGTATTTTATTAAACAAAACAAAAATGGATTATCATTTTCAGGTCAAAACTGAATATTTTCTTTAACAATAAAACTTATATTATGCATAAGAACATTTCAGTGAAATATAAAACAAACATTTTTCTCCCCTTATTTTCAATAGTCTTTTCTTATACCCATAGAGAGGGGGAGATGAAAAACAAAGAAAGATCTGCTAGTCTGTATCTAAAGATCTAGAAAGAAAAATTTACCTATTAGCTATTATTTCACTCAAGGATTATGAAACGCAAAACAAATACATCAATTTATTCATTAGTAGTCAAGTGAGGAGGTCAACACCTCTCTTAAACTAAGATGTCTTAGTTTGGATGGTGAATAATGAAAGAAGCTCTCTAAAATGTCAACTCTAGAAAGATACCACCTAGAAATAAGTGACAGGAATTCACAGTGATACTAAAAATAAGAATCAAGTTGCAATATCTGTGCTCAGCGACACTGGAGTATCAATACCCCTCCCCAATCTTATTACTTTATCAAGTCTACACGGATCTTCTTTATAGTGTGCTTTTTTTCATAAACTGTGGAATACTTTTTCAGGAAACGAAGAGTCTAGGTCACCTAGGCCATTTGTTCTTGTAGCTCTCTCGTAGGGGGAGATCTAAGAATGCAGGGAGGTAAGTGAAAGTGTGTGGCTGGCATTTTTGCTGCTCGTTTTTCTATCTGCAAAAGCTTTTAGCACATTCATCAGAAGGCATACAATGCAACCTCTTTTGATATTAGGTCTCTGGGCATAGCTTTCAAGGTCATTCTTTGTTCCATTCTTCCTGTATTGCCAAACTGCGCCCAACAGGTGGTCTAGAGTGTGAATTTCAAACATGTGCTATTAATATGCCCAAAACTGTTGCTGCAAAGGGGAAAAAAAAACCACATTAATTGAATCCTGTCCTGTTCTTACTCATAATGTGACAAATATATTTTTCTATGTATATGAAATGATTTGTAAAACCATGTGAAATCTCTAGGTGAATAAATCTACAGGTTTTAAAATATGTATTACTGATTGTTAGTAAAAGTAATTACTTTCTTACAATTCTACAATAGAAACTACAGACAGTATGTATAGGTCAACAATAAAAAAAATAACGTTGCAATCTTTCTTCATTTACCCTGGTTTTCCTGTTGATATACTGATGATCATTAGTAACAGTATTACATCTGTAGATACTTCATATTTTAAAATTTCTTTGTAATTCTCTTTAGAATATTTTTCTCAAACTTTTTTGGGAAGGTCACTATTAGTCCCATTTTATAGATTTCATATGGAAATAATAATAGTACCTACCTCAAAGGATTGTTTCAGAGATTCATTAGATCATCCACATTAAGCACAAAGTATTTGACACATAACTTAGTGAGTGCTCAAAACGTGTTAGCTATTAACAATATGCAACAGTATTAGCAACTATATTAAGGTTATCAGAAGTCCATTTTAAGCAGGCCAGTCTGGTTTGGGTCTTCTACAACTGGACAGTTTTTCCAAAAACTGAGGATACCACTGTTTATATATGCTGATCCATCTGTCTAGAATGCTCTTTCCTTCCTCACTCCCAATTTGTAACCACTCTACTGGGCTAAATCTTACTCTTCAAATCTGGGCTCACACAGTACTTCTTCCAGGGGTAAGCAGTCCCTAACCTCTCCCAAATCTAGATTATATTGTATACACTAGGGCACTCCTCCTACGTGCCCCAACACGTATCACAATTGCCTGCTTCTAAGTCTGCTTTTCTCTGTGACACTAAAGCTTCACAAGGGCAGGTCTATCTTTACCCACTTCACTCTTAGTTAGCACAACACTAGAACATAGTGGGTGCTCAGTAAACATGTCATATGAGGACACCTGGGATCTGAAATCAGCCTGGTTGGTGTTGGAAGAACAGGTTTTCATATAACGTGAGCAACTACTGCCAGCCTAAGAGGTAAAGCAGCAGCCAGTTATGGGCGGTTGAGGGTGAGGCTGCTAAAATGGAATGTGGCATCTCAGAAGCAGAGAGGAAGAAGGGAGGGGCTCTAGAGGAAACCAGGTTCCATCTGGTCGCTTAAGGTCACACCAGCAGAGCCACATCCAGATTCACTGATTCTGGATATCTAGATACCAGTCCTGCAGCTTGGGCAGCGAGAGCCTGGGTTAACTGCACCTGGTCCCAGTCTAAGAGATCTCTGACCAGACTATTAACAACAACATGCAAGTCAGGGGCCCTGCTGGCTGGAATGAGTGTCCAATCTGATCCAGGACCCCAGAAGACTTACCAGACAGTTGGGATGTGTTGTGCAGCTCTGGCCCAACACAGAATTGCAGTGCTGAGGAAGAAACGTTGAGACTTTGGGCACAGCTGACGGAAAATGAACTGAAATGTTCTGATTTGTTACAGCAGCTGCGTCATAGGAAGGGATGACTTTAGAATAGTATCTGACAGCATGGAAGGAATTGAGAGAGAGAGCTGTGCTGGGAATTCGAGCTTTATACATATCACCCACAGCATTCTCTGAAGTGGAGCTGGACTGACCTTTAACAAGGAGAAACCAAATATCCATCAGTATACACAAATCTTCACTCTGAACTACTGTATTTGAAATAAATCGTCCTCTATTTCATGTCCTCATGTTACAAACTTATACTACTGCTACACTCAAATGCCGATGGAAAAACGAAGTGTACTTTTTAGTAGTGACATTCAGTGCAACACACACACTATAAATTAGTGTTCATGTGTCATTAAAAGACAGAGATTTTAGTGGAGCATCAGATCTCTGTGCCTTTGGGTGAGTGTGTGAATGAGTGTGTGAATGAGTGTGTGTGTGTGTGTGTGTGTGTGTGTGTGTGGCTTTCATCATCATCAAAACTGTGACCATCCCTATGAAGCAAGAAAGAATGTTGCAAAGAAGAACTCCATTCAGCCATGAATAAAGTTTGGTTGATTTTCTATCAATGAAGTGGGTCATATCATTATATATCTATATTCTGTACAATAACTAGAGGGCAGAAAAATTTTTTAAAAATATATAATGAATGTTAATGTAATCGCAACACTGTGAATACCTATTTATTTTCTTCTGGACTTTAATAATAAAGAAAGTAAAATAATGTAATTTCACATCTGCTTTAAACACAAATTTATCTGGAATATTTGTGAAAAATCTTTTCAACAAATACATACAGAGATTTATGGAAAAGGACAAGTAAAGGCAACCTAACGAAGTCCAAATACTGAAAGAATCAGCCCTTCTGCGTTACAGGCCAGACTCTGGCACAGAAACCTGGTGACCTCAGGTGGTCATTCAACTTCTCCAGCCTTCGATTGACGGGCCTGGGTGGTGAAAGTGAAATTCTAAAGACTTAACTGTTGTCATCTGTTCCAATCCTCTTTCAAAAGCAATTTGGCAAGATACAATACAAGCTATACATGTGCTCATGTTCTCGAACTCATTCATCACAGACTTCCAGGTATCCAGCTCAAGGAAAAGTCCAAAATATAGAAAAATCTATATATGGGGAAATATTTCCTATCATATTATATATAAAATCACTCTCCTCACAAAACTGGAAACACTAAATCTAGCAGCTGGAGGATGGCTAAGAAAATTATTCTATAAATCATTTGATAAACTACTAAAACCACTAAAATGGTGATGAGGGCTGCATAATAAAAAAAGTATATATGACACGATGTTAAGTAAAAAAAGTATATATGACACGATGTTAAGTAAAAAAAGCAGGAGACAAAATTGTATGCCCAATATGATTACCACTGTAGAAAAATATACATGGAAAAAAACTTGTAGGAAATACATAAAAAAAGAACACAGTTATTATCTTAGCTGGGTTAGTAAAGGACTAATATTGTTTTTTAGATGGAAAATGTATATAAATAAAATTAAACTTCGGGTTTTGACTCAATGACTTTCAAGGTCTCCTCCAGTATGAACATGCCCTACGTCTGTCTTCCCAAGTGTTTGCTTTAGGTGATGCGATACTATGAGATGCTGGGCACAGAAAGGCCTGAGCTCATGACCATGGAAAGAGTGTTTCAGAGTTTCTGCAGGATATAAACAGAGTGCAGAAGTAAGTAATGTATGTACAAGAAGTAACATTGACAGGCATATGCCTGTGGCCTGACCTCTATCTGATTTAATCTGGGCTGATTTAATCATTCAGTGTGACATTCAGCCCCAACTACTTTAAGTAGATTAACCATGGCTCATGGCTACTTCTTTTCTATTCTCTTCCCCTTTCCTCTAAGTCAGGAGAAAAGTTTAAATTGACTAATAAAACACTCTGGGGCTAATTTGGTTATATGAACAAGGAGGGGTATATTCTATTTTTGGCCCCTTTCTCTTTGACTTTAGACACCATCCCCAGTAATCTCATCTGTCCCCGTGGCTTCCACTATATCCCCATAATATGCACGGTACCTCTATGACAGCACTCAAAATACTATAGGAATCATATTTTGCTTTTGTGATCCTCTCTGCTACAAATTTGTGAGCTCCGTAAGAACAAGAACTGCAACTTGTTCGCCCTTGTGTCCCCATCTTTGAGGCAGGGACGTTTAAGCTGAGAACTAAGGATGAACTGAGAGTTAACTACGTAGAGTGTGGGCAAGGACATTCCCAGCATTGGGGAGGTGCTGAAGCAAGAGAGTGGAAACCCTTCAAGGAAGTCAGCAGAAGGGTGACCTCAGACTCAGGCACTGAGGAGACGGGTCAGGTGTCCTGTCATCCAGCATCTAATATGCAGGTTAGGAGCTCAATATTCTACTGGTCTCTCAATGAAGAGTAACCTTTGGGAATACTGAAAGTCATAAACTAGTAGCTGTGTTCTTTTACTCTGGCTCTGCTTTTTCCCATTTTCTTATTTCTACAAGTACATGGGCATGCCTTGACTTTATAACACACATAACAAAAATGCCTCACAGTGCGTAAATATTTGTTTCACAATGAATATTCATATAATAAATGTCTCTTGAGCATCTACTGCATGCTGGTCATTGCTCTAGGTACTAAAAATACAGCAATGAACAAAACAGGCAAAGTAAATTCACAGTCTTCATAGAGTTGATATTCTAGTGGGAGAAGACAGGCAATAAAAAAATATGCAAGTAAAGAATATTAGAAGGTGATAAGTGCTGTGAAGAAAAATACAGCAGAGGAAGTGGATAAGGAGTCCCATGCATTATGTGATGCTGGGAAGGAGTGTGTAGTTTTAATCGGATGGTTGAGAAACACTCACTGAGAAGGTGACATTTAAGCAAAGATATGAAGGAGGTAAATAAGTTAATATGTTAAATGAGTACATAGTTAGTACTCAATCAGTATGAATACTGCCCTTCCCTTTAGATTCTATTCATATAATAAAGTCACTAGTGTGCTTATCATCTATCAGTAAGATGAGCTTTCTACTGGAAGCCACATGCAAAAGAATGAAACTGGACCACTGTCTTACACCACACACATAAATCAACTCAAAATGTATTAAAGACTTGAAGGTAAGACCTGAAACCATAAAACTCCTAGAAGAAAACAAGGTATAAGCTCCTTGACATTGGTCTTGGCAATGATTTTTTGGATTTGACACTAAAAGCAAAGGTAACAAAAGCAAAAATAAACAAGTAGGACCACATCATACTAAAAAGCTTCTGTATAGCAAAGGAAATCACCAAAAAATGAAAAAGCAACCTATGGAATGAGGGGAAATATTTGCAAATCATATATCTGATAAGGGATTAATATACAAAATATACAAAGAACTCATACAACTCAAGAGCAAAAAACCAAACAATCCGATTAAAAAATGGGCAGAGGATCTGAACAGACATTCGTCCAAAGAAGACATCCAGATGGCCAACAGATACATAAAAAGATGTTCAACATCACTAATCAGGGAAACGCAAATCAAAACCACAATGAGATATCACATCACACCTGTTAGAATGGCTAGTATCAAAAAGACAAGAAATAAAGAGAGTGACATCAGCATCACAGTGGAGTGAGCTCTTCCCTTAGTCTCTCCCCACTAAGATACAATGAAAAGGACATTCATAAACCAACACAGGACATTCACACAACACAACAGACGTCTGAGAGATCCACGCAGCCATACATCTGAAGGTGGGGGTACTGAACTCCCCTGAGGAGGCAGTGGAAGGAGGTAAGCAGATCTCCTCTCCCTCCCAAATGGCAGCAATCTAGGACGCGGGACGTGGCAGGGTGGCCAGCACACAACTCTCAGAGGAGAAGGGGGGAAAGGCAGCCCTCCGTGGGAACACTTTTGTTCTTGGAGTTGCCTCCCAACCCATGGAAATGCTCCACACCGAGGTGGCTAAGCAATCGGGGGCATCTCTACCAAGCCGAACAGCCCCAGCAGGCAGACAGTGAGTACAGAGTGCAAGTGCACAGGATTGCACATGCAAAAGAAAGCGCCACTCCCCCCCCTCACCCAATGCACCAGATCAGGCACTTGGCCTGAGCAGGGGATCCTTGCCAGAGTGCCTGTGCGTATGTGTGTAAAACAGCAGCAGCCAGTGAGCAAACACAGACGGGCTCTGTCGGCACAGTTTCCAACAGACAGGCACAACTGCCAGGTGTTGTGGCGGGCTCAGAAAATACAGCTCCTGCCCCCCTCAAGTGGCAGCAGGTGCAATCTGCAACCAGATAATACCACTAAATGACGGCAATAGTCCACCCCACCAAATAATGTGAAAAAGTATATTAACAGTCCAGACCAGAAGGAAAATGACAAGTACCCAGAAATCAATCCTGAAGTCACAGAAATTTACAATCTAAATGACAGAGATTCAAAATAGTTAACATAAAGAAACTCAATGAGTTACAAGAAAACTCAGAAAGACAGTTAAATGAAATCAGGAATAAAATTAATGAACAGAGGGAATTCTTCACAAAACAGATTGAAACTATACAAAAAAAACCAATCAGAAATGTTGGAGATGAAAAACACAATGAAAGCTACAGAAAAATCTGGAGTCTTTAAAAAACAGAGCTGATATTACGGAGGACAGAATTAGTAATTCAGAGGACAGAAATATAGAAATGCTTCAGATGGAGGAAGAGAGAGAACTAAGACTAAAAAGAAATGAAGAAATTCTTTGAGAAATATCTGACTCAATTAGGAAATGCAACATAAGGATTATAGGTATCCCAGAGAGAGAAGAGTGGGAGAAACCAGCAGAGAGCTTGTTCAAAGAAATAATAGCTGAGAAGTTCCCAAACCTGAGGAAGGAGCTGGAATTACATGTAAATGAAGCTAACAGAACTCCTAATTACATCAGTGTAAAAAGACCTTCTCCAAGGCGTATATTAGTAAAATTGGCAAAAGCTAATGACAAAGAAAAAATATTAACGGTAGCAAGGCAGAAGAAAATAGCCTACCTAGTAACCCCTATCAGTCTTTCAATGGATTATCAGCAGAAACCTTAGAAGCTAGGAGAGAGTGGAACGATATATTCAAAATTGTGAAAGACAAAAACTTTTAGCCAAGAATACTCTATCC